GCGAGAAGGCCCGCGACCGCCGCCGTGACCTCCTCCTTCGAGGCCTTCTTCGCCTTGAGGTCGCGGACGAGGGCGCCCTGGTCCGCGATCTTGGCCGTCAAGCTCGCCGCGTCCATGGATTTCCGGCGAAAAAGCAAAATGGGGATTTTGTGGTGCGATAAGACTGTCCGCATAAACGTCCGGATAGCGCCTGGCACTGGCGGCGTCCTTGGATAAATGCACGCCCTTTAAGGCTCTGAAGGCGATGTGCCACGCCTCGTACGAGGCCGTGCCAGTGCTAGCAGCTCTGCTAGCGATTTGCATCTGCGCTACCATACCCTCGATCCATATCGCGTGCATAGATCGTGCACGTGAGTGCCCGTTATCAAGAGAGTGGCCCACTTCTAGTCGAAAGGGACGTGACGATCGTACAGGCCAAAGCCATGGCACGTCCAACGGACGGCAATGACCATGCTAAGGGCGCCTATAGCAGCGGACGCATGCAATGCCAGCGTGCGGCATATAGAGAAGGCGAAACAGGCTCCGCAAGCAGCGAATTGCAGCATTCAAGTTGCGTGCTTTTAGTCAAATCAACAAAGCACTGCGAGCGTACGCAGCCAAGAGACACGCACCGACCACAAGAACGCGGTGGGACACATTTTGAGGATCATCTTCCTCTTCCTTCGTCGCTTCCTTCGTTGGGCTGGGAGCTGACGTCTTCTGGTTCGCCACACAGGTAACAACGCTCATCCATGTCGTTGGCAATGGTGGAGTGTGGAGTACCTCGTAGCATCGACTGGTTGCAGCAGCACACGACGACTTCTCAGCATAATCAATGCTCCAGAAAGAGAGAGAATGCCTCTCTGGGGCCCTCCGCTGCAACACAGAGAACGCTCATGCGAAGTGCGGAGAAGCTTCGCCAAGGGCGCGCCGGGATGCATGTCGCAGGCGTTTCGCGTGTCATAAAACACGCTCGCAGCGTGCCAGCTCATCGCGCTAGAAAAGTGGTCTCTGCGTAAGGACGCCACATACTGAGGTTGTCCCGCACCTTGAGCATCCACCCAGGCCTGGCATTCACCTCGTCCAGAACTCTACCATCAATGTCAACAACAAGAGCCATCTCCGTTCGGAACTCATCGTCCTATGCGGATACAAGGCACGGAGGAGGGTCGCAGTTCCGAGCGAGCTCTCCTTAACAATGCAGAAACACGCTCAACAACACTTCATGGTCTCGCAAGTTTAGAGAGACAACCAGCAACGGCTGGACCGGTCGGCGCTTCGACGAAGCGCGTCGACGACGGATCCATCCATGTCCTCTGGCAGCATGTCGACCACAAATGGGACGTCGGGGGTCTGTGCCAGCGCTTGGTAGATCGCGCGTTTTTCCATTTTGTAGTTTTCGCGCCCGATGGCCATCAAGGAGAGGAGGCGAAGATGGCGACCCGCAGCTACGAGTTCTGGAAGCACATGCAACGCATCCAGCAGACGCGTACAAAGGCTCAGCGTCGTCAAGCGTGGCAATTGCAATACGCCCGAAAGAACGGCGGTGGCCCCATCGTGCGTCAACTGCTGATTGCTGACTCGGAGCGTCTCGAGATGCATGCACGTCGTCGCAAGCGTCACCAGGAGCTGCTCCACCGAGGTCGAAAGGTCGCAATTGCGAAGATCAAGAGACGTCAGCGCCGGGACCGACGACAAGCCCGCGATCAATGCCTCCATGGTGCCAATGCCCAGTTTATGGACGGTGAGCGACTGCAGTTGCGATAGCATCGGCGCCGCGGCTGGACATGTCGCCAGCGAACCAAAGACGTTGCACTCGAGACGCTCGAGCTGCGTGGCCCCGACGGCGGTCGCAAGGTCCGTCAGCGTTGCGGCGTCGACAACCTCGTTCGAGTCCACATTCCATTTCAAGCGCTTCAACGACACTGGAAGCGTGCGGCCGTGGAAGCCATTGAGGCTCGGGACGTGGCCGATGGTGAGCTTTTGGAGGGTTGTGTTGGCTTGCAGCGCATCGCAAAAGGCCATCATGGCATCGTCGTCCATTGCCGCGTCACAGACCAATCGGAGCTTCGTCGCTGGCGCCGTCGAGAGCCAAGAAGCCAAGAGATGGCCGAGTCGCGGTACAGTGGTCGCGCGCTGCAGGCTGAAAAGGCTGAGAGACAAGTCGTGGACATGCGGGTGGGCGACGACAACGAGCAGGCCGTTAAGCTCGGCTACCTCGGTCGCCCGGTAAGTCCCCACGCGGATCGACACTTGGTGCAGACGCGGGCAGCGCTGCAAGAGGAGACTCGAGATCGCGTGGACTTGGCGATCGACCACGAAGTGGCCGAGAAAATGAAGACGGACGCTGCGGAGCGCAGGGCCGAGGACGGCGACGAGCGAGGCCAGTTGCGCTGCGTCCCGGATCGGACACTTGATCTCAATGCGTGGACGCAGCGGCAGCGTCACCGCAAGCAGCGCCAATACTGAAGGCGACAAGTCCATGTCGCGCAGCCTGATGTGCGGCCAGTTGGCGCGGACCGAAGGCGGCGTTGTCGTCCTGCAGTCGAGAAAGGCCGAGAGCGCCGGCGTCCAGAGCGACCGTGGTACCGCGTGAAGGAAGCTGCTAAAGTCCTTCTGGTTGTCCAAGCACATCGCAATCGTCTTGACGACGTGCGGAAGGGCGAGCGCGTCCGATGGACGATCCCATGTCTGCTTGCGCTCGTAGTCGGTCATCTTGATCAGCGTCCAACTTTCGTATCCGGATGCGCGATCCGATTGGCAAAAAATCGGCCTCCATTAGCCAATCCAACGTGAGCGAACGTCGCAGTCGTCTCAATTGCGATTCAAAATGCAATTGTGTTTGAGTTTAGAAAATCAACCGACAGCTAGTACTAGTATCACGATCGGCGCGCGGTCCAAGGGCGTCGACCACAAACGCATCGGTGTCTTCTGGCAGCGCGTCCACAACAAACAGAACGTTCTGGATAAGTGCCAGCGCCCGACAGAGCGCGCGCTCGCCGTCCCCAGACCCAGCTCCAAAAAGGTTTCTGCGTCGGGAAAGATGATCTTCAAGTGGAGCGTCCGGAGGTGGCGGCCCGCGGCAACAAGCTCCGGCAGAAAATAGAGCACGTCGGAGAGGCGCATCGACATGCCCAGCGACGTCAAGTGCGGCAATCGCACCGTACCAGCGAAAAGAGCGGTGGCCCCGTCGCGAGACCGATGCGAATCGTAGACGTGAAGTGATACAATATGCAGACAACCCTTCGCGAGCGTCTTCAGGAGCAGCTCCGTCGACGAAGAGAGGTTGCAATTGCACAGCTCAAGAGACGTCAGCGCCGGGACCGACGATAAGCCGTCGATCAATGCCTCCATGTCGTCGGCGTTCGCACCGGAGACGATGAGGCTCTGCAGTTGCGACAGCATCGGCGCCGCCGCCGGGCATGTCGCCAACTGGCCAAAGACACTGCACTCGAGACGCTCGAGCTGCGTGCGGCCGACGGCGGTCGCAAGGTCCGTCAGCGTTGCAACGTCGACGACTCTGTTGGAATACGCATCCCACTCCAAGGTCTTCAACGACACTGGGAGCGTGCGCCCATGGAAGCCACCGAGACTCGGTACGTTGACGATAATAAGCTCTTGAAGGGTTGTGTTGGCTTGCAGCGCATCGCAATACGCGATGGCGCCCTCACAACCCTTCTGGGCAACAAGGGCCAATCTGAGCTTCGTCGCCGGTGCCGTCGAGAGCCAATAGGCCAAGATGCCCGAGTCGCGGTGCCACAGTCGTGTGCTGGAGGTCGATTTGTGAGTTCTTGACATCAAGGGTACATAAATTCAATGTACCCTTGTTGACATGCGGGTGGGCGACGACACCGAGTGCCACGTCATGGTTTTGAGACTCCACCACAAGGACTGAAAACGAGGGCTCAGGACCTCGCGTCGACATTTCGCTTCAAGGGAAATGAGCAGCAAATACGAGGCTCAAGCCCCAAAGGTGTTGTCCCTTTCTCAAATTTTCCCGTTGGGATTTGTGTCGGAACCACAAAGTTGGTTAGTATTCACAATGGTCGCTATGAGCCTAAATGTTGCTATTCGAAGTCCAAGTCGCACTGGTGGCGACGATCGGCGCGTGGGCTGAGCGCGTCGACCACGAACTTGTCCATGTCTTCTGGCAACGTCTGAAGCACAAATGGGACGTCATGGACTTGCGCCAGCGCCTTGCAGATCGCTCGCTTCTCCAGATCGTAGTTGTCGCACTCAATGGTACTCAATGCGAGGTGGCGGAGTTGGCGGCCCGCAGCTACGAGTTCTGGAAGCACGTGCAACACATCCAGCAGATGCATCGAGAGGTCCAGCGTCGCCAAGCGTGGCAACTGCAATACACCCGACAGCAAAGCCGCAGACCCATCGCGAGTCAAATCATCGTCGACAGACAGCGTCTTGAGATGCATGCACGTCGTCGCAAGCGTCCTCATGAACAGCTCCATCGAGGTTGAGAGGTTGGATTTGCAAAGATCAAGAGACGTCAGCGCCGGGACCGACGACAAGCCCGCGATCAATGCCGGCATGGAGTCAGCGCTCCACCAGGAGACGACAAGGGACTGCAGTTGCGATAGCATCGACGCCGCGGCCGGATAGGTCGCCAGCAAACCAAAGACGTTGCAGGCGAGACGCTCGAGCTGCGTGGGCCCGACGGCGGTCGCAAGGTCCGTCAGCGTTGCAACGTTGACGACTCTAAATAACGGCCCATTCCACTCGAGGCTCCTCAACGACACTGGAAGCGTGCGGCCGTGGAAGCCACCGAGGCTGGGGACGTGGCTGATGGCCAGCTCTTGGAGGGTAGTGTTGGCTTGCAGCGCATCGCAGAACGCAATGGCCCCATCGTGGTCCATCTGGTCGAGACTGGCCAATCGGAGCTTCGTCGCCGGCGCCGTCGAGAGCCATGCGGCCAAGAGACGCCCGAGTCGTGGTGTCACAGTCGTGTTATGGAGGTCGATGGACATGACGCTGTTGAGCGCAGGGCCGAGGACGGTAACGAGCGAGGCCAGTGGGTTGGCGTCCGCGAAGCACTTGAGTTGAATACGTGGACGCAGTGGCAGCGTCGCCGCGAGCAGCGCCAAGACCGAAGGCGGCAACTCTATGTTGTTCAGCACAATGCGCGGCCAGCTGGCGACGAGCGAATATGGCATGGCCGCGGTGCAGTCGAGAAAGGCCGTAACCGCCGGTGTCCAGAGCGAGCGTGGCACCACGTGCAGAAAGCTGCTAAAGTCCTTCTGGTTGTCCAAGCTCGTGGCAATGGCCTCGATGACGTGCGGAAGCGCGAGCGCATCTCCTGGCGTCGGACGACCCGCCTTGGTCTGGCGTCTGCTGTCGGTCATATCGGCGTGTGCCATTTTTGCAGCTGACTTTGACGTTCCATATCCGGATACGCCATCGGATTGGCCGAAATTCCGTTGCCGCAAACAGTCCATCTAGAAAATGCAGGCACACGCCTTGGAGATGCGCCATGAGCAACGACTCTAGTCGCTCTTGCATGTCGTAGCCACCTCGAGACCCACGTCGTCCAGGACCTAGGGTCCTCGACAAGGTCGAGGACTGGGTTGCTGACGCTGGATTGGCTGCTGGATTAGGATCTCCACCAATCCGGTCTCACATCCGGATACGGAATTGAAAAGCGAGCTTTTGGCCATGGCCGGCAACAAAGAACGCCCGGCCAAGGCCGCCACACGCGCTCACCCTGCATGCTGCGTTTGTTTTGCAAAAGTGCAATCCGCGCGCCAAGCCCATTGCTCAAGCTTTGGCGGCGCGACAGCGTCCAGCTGGGAGAGTCCAGCTACTGCGATCAAAGAAGCCAAAGAGCCAAAGCGGAAGATCGCTGGTCAAGGTCGGTGCGGCTGCTCTTTCTGTCGAGCGTACAACAGCCCGCGCCGGAGCGGTCAAATTACAGACCGGCGTCACGATAGAATAGCTTTTAGATGGGCCTGCCAGTCCAAGTACCGGCGATACTGCTTGGATACTGTACGTATGTTGAACCAAACGAAGATATCTTTGTTGCCAATTAGATAAGCAAATAGCAACGACTTGACCGATCAGCGCGTCGACGAAGCGCGTCGACGACGGATCCATCCATGGCCTCTGGCAGCGTGTCGGTGTCGACCACAAATGGGGCGTCGTGGATCAGTGCCAGCGCTTGGTAGATCGCGCGTGATTTCATGTCGTTGTCGTCGCACCCGATGTCTGTCAATTCGAGGTGGCGAAGGTGGCGACCCGCAGCAACGAGCTCTGGAAGCACATGCAACGCATCCAGCAGAGGCATCCAGAGGTCCAGCGTCGTCAAGCGTGGCAATCGCAACACGCCCGACAGACCAGCGATAGCCCCATCGCGCGTCAGCTGCTGATCGCTGACTCGGAGCGTCTCGAGATGCACGCACGTCGTCGCAAGCGTCTCCATGAACAGCTCCATCGAGGTCGAGAGGCGGCAATGGCGAGCCGTCAGAGACCTCAGCGATGGGACCGACGACAAGCCGTCGATCACTGCCTCCATGGAGTCGGCGTTCAACCAGGAGACGACAAGGCACTGGAGTTGCGATAGCATTGACGCCGCGGCCGGATAGGTCGCCAGCTGGCCAAAGACGTTGCACTCGAGACGCTCGAGCTGCGTGGGCCCGACGGCGGTCGCAAGGTCCGTCAGCGTTGCGTCGTCGACAACCACGTTCGAGTCCACATTCCACTCGAGGCTCCTCAATGACACTGGGAGCGTGCGGCCATGGAAGCCGCCGAGGCTGGGGGCGTTGTCGACAATTAGCTCTTGGAGGGTTGTGTTGGCTTGGAGCGCATCGCAGAACGCGATGACAGCATCGTGGTCCATCGGGGCGACATTGGCCAATCGGAGCTTCGTCGCGGGCGCCGTCGAGAGCCACGCTGCCAAGCGATGCCCAAGTCGCGGCGGCGCGGTCGCGAAGTGGAGGTTGATTGCAGCTCCTCGACATGTGGGTGGGCGACGATTGCAAGCAGATAGTTGAGCTCGACGGCCTCGTTCTCCGAATAAGATTCGACATCGATAGACACTTGGCGCAGACGTGGGCAGCGCTGCAAGAGAAAACTGCTGATCTCTTGGCCTCGGATATCGACCATGCGGCCGCAGGAGAAGTGGAGCGTGAATGTGTTGAGCGCAGGGCCGAGGACGGCGACGAGCGAGGCCAGTGCCGCTCCGTTCCAGATGGCGTAATGCAGCTGAATACGTGGACGCAGCGGCAGCGTCGCCGCGAGCAGCGTTAAGATCATAGGCGGAAAGTCCATGCTAAGCAGCTCGATGCGCGGCCAGTTGGCGCGGACCAATGGTACCGTGTTGCAGTCGAGCCGATTGGCAGAAAGTCGATCACCAATAGCCAATCCAACGCAAGCAAACGTCGCAGGGTCGACTTTTGAAAGCTGCACGCCACGGCCAAGCCACCCAATGCAAGCCACGAAGGCTGGGAACGTTGGAGAGACTCAGCTCGCAGAGCGTCGATCTGGCTGGAAGCGCATTACAAAAGACAATAGTAGAGTTTTTTATGGGCGCAATGTGAAGGAGGTGGAGCGACGTCGCCGGTGCTGTCACGAGCCACGAGCCAAGAGCCGCGAGCGAAACTGAGGTCGACGGAAAGCGTCTCGACATGTAGGTGGGCGAAAACGGGCAGACAATCACTGAGCTCGACGAACGCTTCGTCTATCGCGCGGTTGGCGGGACCCATGACGTGGCACAGCCGTACGAAAGTCTTACTCTTGTACCATCTTGGCGCCATGTCGCACGAGCTCTGTGGCGTTGCGCCATGGTTGTCTGTGTCGTGAGGCGCCAATCGCCTTTTGGGCCCCGACCTCGCCCAGTGGCCAAGGAAGGTTCAAGGGCCCTCTCACGACCTTCAAGATAGAAGGATTCCCTCGCTGGATGGACGCGTGCCGACCAAGGACCCGCGCAACGTGGCGTCCCGGCGGTGCATCGGTGTGAGACACCGACCCCTCAAGGCATTCGAGCCAATCTAAGGCCAGACAGCTGTCTGGTAGTAGTGACGCCTTTTGGCAGGCTGTAGACGTAGACAACTGACGTTAATCACATCCCTTTTTACGACTGGAGACGACTGAGCTACATCCCGCCGTGGACCCGTGTTCGGGCTTTACGACATCTGTGTGCACCACCACCATCTCAGAAAAGCAACAAAGGCGAGCGAGACACTTGAAGAGAAGGCTGCGCGGCTCCAAAAGCAGCGCCAGAAGCCAAGGCACGCGCCGCTCAGAAGGCGAGCGACACGCCGACGCAGAAGGCTGAGCGGCTCGCGGGAACATTCTCTGTCCGTTTACAACCGTGTTGTTATCTCGTCCCACATCAAGTGGGACGAGGAGACAATACCGGCGAGGGACGTACATCAAGTGGGCCACTTGATGTGCATCCCTCGCCATCCGCTTGGCCACGTGTCCAACGATCTGCCTGTGTTTTTTGATAAGATGGCGCCCTTGATTGGCCTTGGTACAAAAACCCACTTTCACGCGTTCCGCGAGAAACTATCCCTCTCCAGCCCAAAGCAAGCACCTTTCCATATGAATGCGATCCACATACAATGCCGTCCTGCTTTCTTCGTACTAGTTATAGCGCCAAGCGACAGCGACGGGACCGATCGACGCGCGGCCCAAGGGCGTCGACCACGTCTGCAGCGATATTTTCTGGCAGCTCGTTTACGACGAAGGAAGCATTATGGATCAGAGTCGCGGCGTGTTAGCAGCGTCCAAGTACGTACAAAGGGAGCTGATTGACGTGCGGATGGGTGACAGCTCCTGCAAGCAGATCGTTGAGCGACATGGTGGCCTCCTCCTGGCCCACGCCGTAGATGCTCTGTTGGCGCAGACGTAAGCAGTGCTGCAAGAGAAGATATACCGCAGATCCAACTCCATTGGTCGTCAACTATGACGGCCAAACTCGATCAGGATGGTGCTCAGCATGGGGCCAAGGAGGGGCACAAGTGAAACCAATGGTGCTGCGCTGTCGACCGAACACTCGATGCTGATGCGACGCTTGCATTGCTAAAAGTGAAACTTTGATACTTTTGTTTTGGGTAGTACGTGGCAGCCTGACAAGGCGTCGCGAGGGTTTGGAAAGTTTGATGCCGCTCTGCGATAGCCCTAAAATTCGTAGTCGAATGGTTTTGAGGTGGGATAGCCTTATGAAAGTGTACACAGCTAGTACACCGAAAACAGTTGGTTGTTGTCGGAATACAACTACGTCACGAAGGCTGTGTTCGCGTCGACTTCTTTTAGTCGAGGTTTGGCCACTGGTGTACCACCAGGTTCGAGTCCCGGAGAGAGCTTTACTTTCTGATTTTCTACAAGCGGCGGTGAAAGGCTGTCGTATGAGCACCTCTACACCGCGCGTCGGAACCACAAAGCGCAGTAGCGCAACCACAAAGTTGCTTTGTCACACTCGCCACCTGGAATCAGACAAAGTACATTAGTTGCTATTTGGCGCGCTTCGAAATACAACCTGCACTCGTGGCGACGATCGGCGCGTGGACTGAGCGCGTCGACCACGAACTTTTCCATGTCTTTTGGCAGCCTCTGAAGCACAAATGGGACGTCGGGGACTTGCGCCAGCGCCTTGTAGATCGCGCACTTCTCCTCATCTTTGACGTTGAACTCGATGGTTTTCAAGGTGAGGCACCGAAGGTGGCGGCCCGCAGCAACGTGCTCTGGAAGCACGTGCAACACATCCAGCAGATGCATCGAGAGTCTCAGCGACGTCAAGCGTGGCAGTCGCAATACGCCCGAAAGAACAGCGGTGGCCCCATCGCGCGTCAAATTACGATCGTCGACAGCCAAACCTGAAAGACGCATGCACGTCGTCGCGAGCGCCTCCAGGAGCAGCTCCATAAAGGTCGAGAGGTTGCCACCGCGAAGCACGAGATAGGTCAGCGCCGGGACCAACGACACGCCCGCGATCAATGATTCCATGTCGTCGGCGTACAAACTGGACGCGGTGAGCGACTGCAGTTGCGATAGCATCGGCGCCGCGGCCGGGCATGTCGCCAACTGTCCAAAGCCGATGCACTCGAGGTGCTCGAGCTGCGTGGGGCCGACGGCGGTCGCAAGGTCCGTCAGCATTGCGGCGTCGACAACCTCGTCCACATTCCACCTCAAGCGCTTCAACGACACTGGGAGCGTGCGCCCGTGGAAGCCACCGAGGGCAGGCGTGTTGTAGACAATAAGCTCTTGGAGGGTTGTGTTGGCTTGCAGCGCATCGTAGAACGCAATTGCGCCCTCATGGTCCATCTGGTCGATATGAGCCAGACTGAGAATCGTCGCCGGTCGTGCCGTCGAGAGCCACGTTGCCAAGTGATGCCCGAGTCGTGGCGGCGCGATAGTCACGCTCTCGAGGCTGATAGACAAGTTGTGGACATGCGGGTGGGCGACGACAGCGAGCAGATCGTTGAGCTCGACGGCCTCGTTCTCCGAACAAGAAATGACCGAGATATTCATGTGGCGCAGACGTGGGCAGCGCTGCAAGAGGAGGTTGCTGATCGCGCGGCCTTGGCCTTGGATCATGGCGCCTTCGTCGAAATCGAGAAAGATGCTGCGGAGCGCAGGTCCGAGGGCGGCAACGAGCGAGACCAGTCGCGCTGCGTCGCGGATCACATACTGGAGTTCGATGCGTGGACGCAGCGGCAGCGTCGCCGCGAGCAGCGCCAATACCGAAGGCGGCAAGTCCATGTCGCGCAGCTTGATGTGCGGCCAGTAGGCGTGGACCGAAGGCGGCGTTGTCGTGCTGCAGTCGAGAAAGGCCGTGAGCGCCGGCGTCCAGAGCGAGCGTGGCACCGCGTGGAAGAAGCTGCTAAAGTCGTCCTGGTTGTCCAAGCTCGTGGCAATGGCCTCGATGACATGCGGAAGCGCGAGCGCGTCTGACAGTGTCACACGTGCGGCCTTCGGCTTGCGCACGCCGTCATTTATCTTGGTTTGTGGTACCGGTGACCCAATGCCGGTGACTGGTGAGCGTCCAAGTGTCGTATCCGGATGCACGATCTGATTGGCAGAGAGTCGATCTTCAATAGCCAATCCAACGTGCGCAAGCGTCGCATGGTCGACATCCAAAGCATCACGCCACGGCCAAGCCACCCAATGCAAGCCGCGAAGGCTGGGAACGTTAGAGCGACTGAGCTCGCAGAGCGTCCATCTGACTTGAAGCGCATTACAAAAGACAATAGAAGCGTTTTTGTTGATGGGCGCAATGTGAAGGAGGTGGAGCGACGTCGCCGGTGCTGTCACGAGCCACGAGCCAAGAGCCGCGGCGTCACACGAGTGAAGCTAAGGTCGATGGACAGCGTCTCAACATGTGGTTGGGCGAAAACGGGCAGAAAATCACTGAGCTCGAGAAACGCTTCGTCTGTCGCGCGGTTGGCGGGACCCACGAGTCGTGGTACAACCGTACAGTAGCTCAGTCGTCTCAAGTCGTAAAAGGGATGTGATTCATTCCGTCAGCGGTCGACAGCAGGGCTGCTTAATTGCCCCCTAAAACCATTGCGACACTCCACATCTGTCGTAGTAATAATATTCCTGGGACTCCTAACCTGTTATTTCGGGGAAGGGGTAGTTGAGGAAGCAGAGTTGAAGCGTGAGGTTGGAGAGGGCGTTGGGGAAGAGGCACGAGGTCGGTGGGGTTGTTTGGGGGGAGAGGGAGAGTTAGCGGGGCTCCGTAAGCCCTCGGGGAAGGAGGGGAGGGTATTTGGGATGGGATATTACTCCAAGGGTCGATGGGTTTTTAATTGTCGAACTTCGAAATCGAAGTTTGGGAAAGGGGAGGTTGCAATGGAGCACCGACCAATCACAGGCTGCGTGCATACAGTCGCCCCGCCTCTATCGATGGTTTTAGGGGGCAATTAAGGGTTCGTGGTCGACAGCCTGCCAAAAGGCGTTGCTATTATTACCAGACAGCTGTCTGAGCTTGAATTTGCTCAAGCGCCTTGAGGGATCGGTGTCTCACGCCGGTCACGCCTCGTTGCGCGGGCTCTTGATCGGCACGCCCATCCAGCGAGGAAATCTTCTCTGTAGCTTCAAGGTCGTAGGAGGGGCCTTGAACCTTCCTTGGCCACTCGGCGAGGTCTATCTATCTATCTATCTATCTATCTATCTATCTATCTATCTATCTATCTATCTATCTATCTATCTATCTATCTATCTAACGTGTTCGCGTTGAAATCAAGTTAGCACTAACTCAAAAGAGTTCGCATACGTAGTGCTACGCCTGAATGCGTGGGAGTTGGCACCAGCACTTGGTCGTTGGGAGTGAGCTGCGCACGGAGAGATCCATCCCGCGGTGGACCCCACTCGCCAAGGGGTAGCTCGCGCGGGGTCGTACGCAGGCTCCTGTACTCGGACCACCCGACAGAGGCGTGCAAGCCGTCGGGTGTGTTTCAAACGAAACCGATCGAGCCGGCATCCGAATAAATTCGGAGACCGACCGAGCACACAGAGCCGACGCCGCGGGCCGAAAGCACGGGAGGGCCAGCGACGTCTCATCTCCTTGACGGCCGCCGGGGACTCGACGGGCCTGAATCGTCGAGGGGCATTGGGTGCCGAGTGCGCGAAGAGCGGCGCCATCAACGCGACCACCGACCGCTGCCAGCGACCAGCACTTACACAGCAATGGACGTAAGACACAGAGCACACAGCACGCCGGAGCGCGCCATGGCCCTGCGGGCGACACGACAAGCCGCGCCGCCTAAGGCACCAGGTGCCCTTGGAATGGCGTCACCCAAATCCAGCCAAAAATCGGCGAGGTCTGGAACCAAAAGGCGATGGGCGCCTCGCGACACTGCGATACATAGCCCTTCGTAGTCGAATGGTTTGAAGGTGGAATAACATTATAAAAAAATATGTGCACAGCTACATCGAATACAGAATGATGTTGCTGGGACTCTAGTCGATGGAAGGAGGATGTCGTATGTGATCGCCACGACACGTCGCGTGGAAATTTCGCACCAAGGACAACCAACCGTACCAGTAGTAACGTGGTCCAAGCCCCAAACGTGCTGTCCCTTTCTTATATTTTCTCATTCATGTTGGTATTGGCACCACAAAGTTGGTGTATCACAATGACCACCTGGAACAAAACTCGAAGACTATCACTGTTGCTATTCGGAACGCTTAGAAATACAACTCGCACTGGCGGCGACGATCGGCGTGCCGACCACGAACTTGTCCATGTTCTCTGGCAACCTCTAAAGCACAAATGGGACGTCATGGGAGGCACGGCGTCGCGGTGGCCGATCGCTGCAGCATGAGAATCAACTCTTCGACACACGGGTGGGCGACGACTGCGAGCAGATTATTGGGCGTGCGGGCGAGACGGTAATACAAGTCGATCAACCAGGCGTGAGTCGACGACGTCCCGTTTGGTGAGTCCATGACTTTGGGTCGGACGCACTGGGTTCGCATACGACCAAGCAAAGCGGATGTTGTCGCATGCATTCTAAATTTGAAACATTGATACTTTTTTCCATTGTCGAGTACGTGGCACGATGGCAGCGCATCATGTCGTTCTCAAAAAAAGTCGATGTCTCTGCAGCAGCCGTGCGTCGTCACGTCGCAACACAATCATGAAGACAACAATATCCAATATTGTCTGTCATACTACTACATATACAACAACCGAGTCGATCGAATGGCATTTCCGACGGCGTCTCGGCCTTTCTCACGAGCTACAACGCTACTATGGCATAGTGGACGACGACGACGGTGCGGGTGATTTGGTTCGTTCTGGTGGCACTGCAAGAGCTACCGAAGCTCGTCTCAATGAAGATTCAAAACGCAAGTGTTTTTGAGTTTATGTGAAAAGCAAACGACATCGATCACCAGAATCGGCACGCGGTCCAAGGGCGTCGACCACAAACGCATCGGTGTCTTCTGGCAGCGCCTCCACGACAAACGGGACGCTCTGGATAAGTGCCAGCGCCCGACAGAGCGCGAGCTTGTCTTCATCGGCATCTCCATGCTCTTCGCCGTCGTCGCTGGTCTCCAAGTGGAGTGTCCGGAGCTGGCGGCCCGCGGCAACGAGCTCCGGAAGCACGTCGAGCATGGGAGAGAGCCGGATCGCCATGGTTAGCGACGTCAAGCGCGGCAGGTCCAACGTGCCAGAGAGGACAGCTGCCTCGCGCTGCGTCAAATCATCACAATCCCAGAGTTGGAGCGTCTCGAGATGCACGCACGTCGTCGCAAGCGTCTTCATGAGCAGCTCCGTCGACAACAAGAGGAAGCAATTGCACAGCTCAAGAGACGTCAGCGCCGGGACCGACGACAAGCCGTCGATCAATGCCTTCATGTGGTTGGCCTGCAACCCGGAGACCGTGAGCGACTGCAGTTGCAACAGCATCGGCGCCGCCGCCGGGCATGTCGCCAACTGGCCAAAGACACTGCATTCGAGACGCTCGAGCTGCGTGGCCCCGACGGCAGTCGCGAGGTCCGTCATCGTTGCGGGGTCGACGTGTCCGCTGTAATTCGAATTCCACTCCAAGGTCTTCAACGACACTGGGAGTGTGCGGCCATGGAAGCCACCGAGGCTGGGGACGTGGCTGATGGCCAGCTCTTGGAGGGTAGATTTGGCTTGCAGCGCATCGCAGAACGCAATGGCCCCATCGTGGTCCATTTGGGCGACATTGGCCAATCTGAGCTTCGTCGCCGGCGCCGTCGAGAGCCACGCTACCAAAAGATGCCAGAGTCGCGGCGGCGCGATAGTCACGCTATGGAGGCTGAGAGACAAGTCGTGGACATGCGGGTGGGCGACGACAGCGAGCAGATCGTTGAGCTCGACGGCCTCGTTCTCCGAATAAGAAATGACCAAGATAGACATTTGGCGCAGACGTGGACAGCGTTGCAAGAGGAGGTCGCTGATCACTTGGCCGCCACCACCGACCATGTGGCCGCGGTGAAAACAGAGAAAGACGCTGCTGAGCGCAGGGCCGACGACGGCAACGAGCGAGGCCAGTGGCGCCGCCTGTCGGATCGGGCACCGGAGTTCGATGCGTGGACGCAGCGGCAGCGTCGCCGCGAGCAGCGTCAAGATTGAAGGCGGCAACTCCATGCTACGCAGCTCGATGCGCGGCCAGTTGGTGCTGACCGTTGATGGCATGGCCGTGGCGCAGTCGAGAATGGCCGTGAGCGCTGGTGTCCAGAGCGAGTGTGGCACCGCGTAGAGGAAGCTGCTAAAGTCCTTCTGGTCGCGTAAGCACGTCGCAATGGCCTCGACGACGTGCGGAAGCGCGAGCGCGTCGGGCAGCGTCACACGGGCGGCCTTCTGCTTGCGCCCGGTCATCTTGGTTTGTGCTCGCATCGAGCGCTTTAAATCCGTATCCGGATGCGCGATCCGATTGGCAGAAAGTCGGTACCCAATGGCCAATCCAACGCAAGCAAACGTCGCATGGTCGACATCCGAAGCTACACGCCAACCCAGCCTGACGCCAACTGGGGCTGGGAACGTTGGAGAGACTCAGCTCGCAGAGCGTCGATCTGGCTTGAAGCGCATCGCAGAAGACAATAGTAGTGTTTTTGTTGATGCGCGCAATGTGGAAGAGGTGGTCGCCGGCGCTGTCACGAGCCACGAGCCGCGGCGTCACGCGAGTGAAACTAAGGTCGATCGACAGCGTCTCGACATGCGGGGGGTGAGAACGGGTAGGAAATCACTGAGCTCGACCATGGAGCTCGACGAACGCTTCGTCTGTCTTGCCGTTGGCGGGACCCACGACGTGGTACAACCGTACTGTAAATGTTTTATTTAGCATAGTTTTTTTTTATTTAGCATAGTTTTATCTATTGTAATAGACGGCCCACTTCAACAACAACAACCGTACTGTAATTACTTTTAATTTTATTTAGCATAGTTTTATCTATTGTAATAGAGGACCCAATTCAACAACAACAACCGTACTGTAACTCAGTCGTCTCAAGTCGTAAAAAGGCATATATTATTATATAGGGATGTGATTACCGGTAACGTCAGCAGTCGACAGCCTGCAAAAAGGCGTTGCTATCATTACCAGACAGCTGTCTGGCCTTGGATTTGCTCAAGCGTCTTGAGGGATCGGTGTCTCACACCGGTCCCCGCCGGTCACGCCTCGTTGCGCGGGCTCTTGATTGGCCATCCAGCAAGAAAGTCCTTCTAGCTTCAAGGTCGTAGGGGGGGGCTTGAACCTTCCTTGGCCACTCAGCGATGTCTGGAACCAAAAGGCGATGGGCGCCTCACGACACTGCGATACATAGCCCTCCGTAGTGGAATGCTTTTGAGGTGGAATACCATTCTGAAAGTGTGCACAGCGACATCAAATACAGAGTATTGTTGTTGGTATTCTAGTACATCGTGTGGAAATTTCGCGACAAGGACAACCAACCGTATTACAATAGATACGAGGCTCAAGCCCCGTATGCGTTGTCCCTTTCTCATTTTTTCCCATGGGTATCGGAACCACAAAGTTGCTTTGTCACACTCGCCACCTGGAATCAGACAAAAAAGTAGTTCATTAGTTGCTATTCGAAGCGCTTAGAAATACAACATGCACTGGTGGCGACGATCGGCGCGTGGGCTGAGCGCGTCGACCACGAACTTGTCCATGTCTTTTGGCAAATTCTGAAGCACAAATGGGACGTCGGGGACTCGCGCCAGCGCCTTGCAGATCGCTCGCTTCTCCAGATCGTAGATGTCGCGCCCGATGGTATTCAAGGTGAGGCACCGAAGGTGGCGGCCTGCAGCAACGAGCTCTAGAAGCACGTGCAACACATCCAGCAGACGCATTGGCAGGGTAAGCGACGTCAAGTGTGGCAATCGCAGCACGCCAGACAGCAAAGCCGCAGACCCATCGCGAGTCAAATTACGATCATCGACACGAAGCGTCTCGAGATGCACGCACGTCGTCGCGAGCGTCTCCATGAGCAGCTCCGCCGACAACGAAAGGTCGAAAGTGCGAGCCGTCAGAGACGTCAGCGCTGGGACCGACGACAAGCCGTCGATCAATGCCTCCATGTTGTCGGCGTTCACACCGGAGACGATGAGGCACTGCAGTTGCGACAGCATCGGCGCCGCCGCCGGGCATGTCGCCAACTGGCCAAAGACGATGCACTCGAGACGCTCGAGCTGCGTGGCCACGACGGCAGTCGCAAGGTCCGTCAGCGTTGCGTCGTCGACGTTTCTGTTGGGGCGGATCTTCCACGCCAAGGTCTTTAACGACACTGGGAGCGTGCGACCGTGGAAGCCACCGAGACTCGGTACGTCGAAAATGGTGAGCTCTTGGAGGGTTGTGTTGGCTTGCAGCGCATCGCAGAACGCGATGACAGCATCGTGGTCCATTCGGGCGATATAAGCCAATCGGAGCTTCGTCGCCGGCGCCGTCGAGAGCCACGCTGCCAAAAGATGCCAGAGTCGCGGCGGCGCGATAGTCGTGCGCTGCATGACGATGGTTACATCTTCGATATGCGGGTGGGCGACGACTGCAAGCAGGCTGTTGAGCTCGACGGTCTCGTTCTCCGAATAAGAATGGACCGAGATAGACACTTGGCGCAGACGTGGGCAGCGCTGCAAGAGGATGTCGCTGATCGCTTGGCTTTGGCCTTGGACCATGCAGCCGCGGTAGAATTGGAGCGTGACAGTGTTGAGCGCAGGGCCGACGACGGCGACGAGCGAGGCCAGTGGCGCGGCGTCCCGGATGGAGCAATGCAGCTCCATACGTGGTCGCAGTGGCAGCGTCGCCGCGAGCACCGTTAAGACCAAAGGTGGAAACGCCATGGTAGCCAGCACAATGCGCGGCCAGTTGGCGACGAGCGATGCTGGCAGGTCCGTGGCGCAGTCGAGAAAGGCCGAGAGCGCCGGCGTCCAGAGTGAGTGTGGCAGCGCGTAGAGAAAGCTGCTAAAGTCCTCTTGGTTCTTCAAGCACATCGCAATGGCCTCGACGACGTGCGGAAGCGCGAGCGCGTCTGGCGGCGTCGGACGAGCCACCTTGGTCTGGCGCCCGCTGTCGGCCATCTCGCTTTTGCTTGCAATTAGGCCCCTTCACGGTCCGGTTCGGCTAGGAACCGGCTGGAAAAATGGAAACAAAACCGTTGACGTTTGGAGCCGAGCCGAACCAAGCTGGACGGCTTGAGCCGAGGAGACCGAGGGATCTCGAGTTAGCAGGAACGGTTCGTGTTCAGAGTCGCAAAACTTGTATTCGGTAGTCAACTCTGGTACTTTATTCGCTCTTAATATCGCAATCAAGGTAGTACTAGATGACGGGGTCTTCGTTGGCCATCTCCAAGAGGTCCACGCGCGCTTTGAAGTCGTCGAGTGCCTGTAGGTAGTCGGCTGGGAGCGGGAAGTCCAACGCCTTTGCAAGCTGCAGCCACGACTGCGTGCACTTTTGGGCCTTGAATATGTTGTCGCCGAGGTTGTCTCGTCCTTCGAAGACGCGCTTAGCCGCAGTTTGTTGGCTCGTTCGCTCGGCACCGACGTGGCCGGGATCGAGAGGTTGTCCATCGCAGTCTTGTACAGCACGGGGTACACGACTTGTGCGACCGCCACCACTCGAGTAGATCTTCGTCCTTGTCGACCTGGGGCAGCGCAGCGTAGCGATCGATCTCGAAGTTGTCGAACCTCACGTCGCGACGCCGAAGAGGTTTGAGCTCGTCGCCCTTGTCGCTGGGCAAAACGTCGGCGTCTGGCAAGTTGACGCCGACGTGCCGCGGCATGACCATGATACTTTCGATAATCTGACGCTCGGCCTGGAACGCGGGCTTCGTAGTATCACGCGCGCACCTTGGATCGAGGAGCTTGGCTGTTGTAGCAGCCTCTTGTATTAGTATGTGCTACGGTGGTTGCCAATCATACGGTAAATGACTGGAGCCACAGTTCCATCGGCTTGAGCGGTTCGGCTCGGTTAGGAGCCGGCTCGAAAAATGGAGCCAAAACCGCATCCGGATTTTGCGAAATCGGTGACCACCTAGCGTCGCTGGTTTGGTTTGTTGTTTGAAAACCTGTCGCGCGGCAATCGAGGCGATATCTGACAAAGGCAACAAAGACGATGTCGATCGTGGGCGTGAAGCTGCAGTTGGTCTCTGCGCTCCTTGCAGCGTGCGACCTCACGGGCGTCGGACTGGTGGTCATTGTTGACATATGATTAGCCGACCTTTTTCCTAATCTACGCCGCAACGCGATCTGAGTTGCTTCAATGGAACCGCCGATCATTTGCTCGAACGGAAAGCTGTCCTCCGTGACGCAGCCCCGCTTACGCTTCTGATCGTCGTAAGCACGATCGCCAAAGCGTTTGCGTCGATGTGCCCGAAAAGCCCTCGTCCGTGTTGCTGAATGAGGTACGAAAGGCCTTTCAGAAGCTGCTGTCGCCCAACAAAGCGCCTCTAAGAGCCGCTGACAGTAGGCCACGTTCAGATTGCACAACGTGCCGCCGCCGCTATTCAAACAAAGGACGATTCGAACGGGAGCGAAAGCAACGAGAGACGACCCACACCAACATGTGCTTCCGGAGGCCAACGCTTGAGAGACGTTCAACAGGACCACATGCAAGAACCGAAGCACACAAAAGCACGACCGACCTCCTTGCTTTCTTGCAGCGGCACTGGTGTGCACAGTCCAGACTCACCTGGATCTCGCGACAGTATTAAAATAGCGGCTCGGCCTACCATGACGTTTCGTCAGATGGTCGGGTCGATGAAGACCGAGTCGCCGGCTCTTAGTGCCGGTCCACCCATGTGTCGTGGTGGATCGACTGCTCGTGCGAAGGTAATCCTGCAGCATCGAGATACGCGTACTATCCAGTGCTCAAGACATCACGCCGGGAACCGGAGAAATCACAGAGGAAAATCACGAAGAAAACAAAGTTCGTTCTCGTCCAGCCGACCATCGGCCATGTTCTCGCCGCGTCCAGAAACGATGGATGCACCGAGTTTTTTTACACTGTACCGGTAGGTATAGAGACGCTGTTGACGGCCATCGCTAGCGTGGCGTTGTCGTTAATAAATCGCCGCCAAACGACAGGTATCCAAATGCACGCTCGTGCAGGTGCGGTGACCACGCCCGTCCCAAATGGCATCGTTGCCATCGATATAGCGCCACTTTGCACCATCTATTCTGGCATTTTTCAAAAAAATGAAATTGTATTTCGCTGGATCCTTCTTGCAAAGATACCAAAGGCGATTCGGCCAGCGACGGCGGACTGCTGCTATGCTGGCAATTGACGAGCGCTCGTGTAATGGGTCGCGCCACATCGCGCCGCACGCCTCCGTCCTAGTATGTGTCCCAGACTGGCGCCAGGGGCCTTTGGTCGTCCGATGGGTGCATGCCCACTCTGGTCAACACAAGAAAAACGATGTGGAACCGGCGAGCACATCCCAAAGACGGGCGGCGCAGGTGCGCGCCTCATACAAATACCAAGTGTCTTGTCATGGCTTCGTGTTTCCGTGTTTTTAAGCCGTCGTCGGATATGTATTTTCCATGCATTTTACACTTTGTTTGTTAAATGTCACTACAACCACCTAGTATACAAATATGCATTGGTATCACCCAGATTGCTACTGAATCGTAAAGCCGGGAAAAACCATGGCGTTGGACACTCTACCACGTGTAATAGGCCCGACACCATGCTGTAATACGCACGCGCCAATCACGATCGAGCTTGTGGACCCACACACCTCATTTTCCATTTGGACGCGATTTATGCAAGCGACCGCCAATTCCGTGAAGAAACTCACGAGTGCCACCAGCCTCGACGACTACAGCACGGTCCTCGCCGCGTGGCCACAATGGAAGTGCTGCATCAACGGCAGCCGCGTCATTCAAACCAACTCGAAAAAATTCCTCTTTTTTCAAAAGGTCGACGTCGTGTACCATGTCCGCGTCGCGACGGCCACGCACCGCTGGATCGTGCACCACACGATCGCCGACTTTCGCCAGCTCCACGAAGCGCTTTTGGCGGTTGCTGCCAACAATGCTGCGTTTACTGACGCGCTCGTGCACTTTCCGCTGCCGCGCGAACACTTATTTGGTCGTCGTGACATGCTCGTCATCAAGGGCATGTGCGGCAACTTGGAACACTACCTCGTCAACCTCCTTCGCTACATTCAACGCACGGCGTCGGACAGCGACAGTGCACGCATGGCCGACCTGCTCCGCGTGTTTCTGAGCCCGCCAACGTGCCTTGCCGACCCGGTGGACACAGCTCCGATGGCGCGCGCCAAGATTATTTAAATATCGCCTTGTAGGGCACGACACCTCTTATTTAACACATATTGCTTTCCTCATCTAATTCCATTGGTATGGTGGCCATCAAGGTGCAGAAGAGTGCATACGACAAAGACAATACGAACGCTCGGCAGTAACAAAGGCAACCTGCTTGCCGTTGCGATGTGTAGAGTATGCGTCTGGTGCTCTGGACAGCAAAGACGTACGTGGTAGCGTGGTCCGGCTCTGTGGCGTGGTCCAGGTGCGCGAAAGGCTGTGGACCGCATTAAGACTCGACACAGCAGCAACCACGCATTCCAGAACACAACCACACAGCACGAAGAAATCGCATGTCGATCAACATTCTGGTTTGGAACGTTCTTGGAAAGTCCACGTGTCGGTGCCATAGATAGTACATGAAGTGGAAGTCGGAAGTCGCCCTCGGACGGGAGGAGCTATTCCTTGTCGAGTCCCGCGGAAACGAACGCGTGCAGGCACCCCACCCCTAAGCTACGTTTGCACGTTGCTCTTCTGGCAGTGGTTTTCCATGGTCGTGTTTGCTCGTTCTACCTGAGTTTTCTCTGGTTAGACCGACTTGCGGGCAAGAATCGTGTTGGTCCGCCATGCGCAAGGCTCTCTTGGCCTTGGCCATGATGGGTGAAACAAGTTTGCATTTCGAATCGAACCTTATAACTCATGTAGTATCCGGAAATGGCTTGCGTCTGGATCTGGTTAAAACTCGTGCGCGTTTCGTTGTCGCCGTCTGTATCGCTTGGTGCTTTATAGACAATTTCGTCCACTGCTTTGACACGGCACAGTCTCAAAGAGCACACGTTGAATTTCATTCGGTATGCGCATCGGCTAGCTCGGCGAGAACGTCGCCGTGACAACCCTCGGGCTTGCACCAGCACCCGAGCACCTTCCCGCGCACATCGCTCAAGTCGACGTCCCCGCGCGTGATTTTGTCCGTTATGTAGTCCCGGTACTGTTGAACGACATCGTCGCGGGTTCCATCACGGCCGATCTTGAACGGATTGCCCCAGACGCTGCCAGGCATCGCGGGCTTGCCGTCGCGCGCCGCCATGCCACGACCCACATACTTGTGGTGCGGCGACGCGGCCAACCACGCGTCCAGGCTACGGTAGCCCATGCGTCGGAGGCTCTGTGCGTTGACGTTGACAACGGTGGTTGGTGGGGTTCGAGGCATTGGTGGTGATATATGCCGATGGGGTAGAGACGCGATGATAGCGCGCGCATCGTGGAGCTCGGATGCGAGCAAGTGCACTTGGTTCAGAAGCGTGCGGATGCGATCGTCGGGCGAAAGCACCGACGTGCAGCACACGCAGTGCGTCACGTCGAGAGGGTTCTCAAGAGTGCATTGTGGACAGGCGAGCAACATTTGGATGGATCGCCAGACGTGTTGGCTCCACGGAATGTGTGGAAATGACTATCGCCATAGAAATCGAATCCACGCTCTTGTGAATGATGGTTCCCTCGTAACCTTCGACGCATTTTCGTCGCAGCGTCCGACGCTCGCATCGCGACCATTCCCTTCAATCAGACAACTTGTACTTGTAGTTGGCCACAACAAATTGAACTCGTAGTGCTTTTGCGAGAGTGCCCCCAAAGCTCGTGCACCGACACAGAGATTTTGTTTCTTGGGCTTACTATGTGATTTTGGTGTGCATCTCTTATGGACCAAGAGTCAATAAAAAGTTCCCTGTCAACACTATCGGTCGCTCAAAGGTTGCCGCCTCTCGCGCTGTTTGAATGGCCCGCGCTGCCATAAGTGCAATCTGGGCCATTTCTATCACCTTGCGGCTGGAGTTTTGAATCGATAGGCTGTCCAATCGCCTCGTTTTAAAACCGCTTACCAGGCGCGCCAGAAATACTTCTCCACAGTGCAGAACTTGATCTTTGGCGGCATGAAAGGACCTGAGAGCGTCAACGGGGTCGTCGCACCTGCGGCGCAAAGCCGCAAGCGCAAGGCGTTCCTGTACATCTTCAACAGCGTCACGGCCATCGTGGCGGTATGGTGTCATCTTCTTTTGTAGCTTAACTCCGTGTTTCATGCCGAAAATGTAGATTACCGTCATCTTTGTCGTCAACACGACGGGGGTCGTGCGCACGATTGAGACGCTGCTTGGAAGCTACGACACGCCCCGGTCGTACGGCTATCACTCGTTCAACATGCCATTTTTGCTCCGCGAAGCGGCGCTCTCGGGCCCTAGTGTCCAGGACCGCATCACGAACGTACGCACTTTCTATATCATTTTTTGATGGCCCACGATGTGCTTCATTAGCTCCTCAATGCAGGGCACCACGTGGCCTACTTGGAGAAAGAATCGACCGACGCGACGGCCACGCGGTTCCAGCCGAACGCCTGCGCCACGATCGTCAATGCGACGACAGAGCGCATTTACGCACCGGCCCACGTGTCGCTTTTGATGAAAACATGATGGTCGACTACGGCATGGCAGCCAGTGTGACCGACAACAGCGCGATTGCTATCGTCGACTGTTCTTTTGAAGGCCGCCTCGCCCAAGACACGACGGCATTCAAGGTATCTGTCAAGGTATACAGTACCAAGTTGATACATTGATGCTAGGCGTATTTGCTCGAGCGACACCTCAAGTGGATTGTGACGTTTCAGCTGCAGACGATCATGGCCAACATTCCGGCGCGGCGCGACACGATGCCGACGGGCACGGTCACCATCACCAACATGACCGTAGCGTCCTTGCAAGTTGCGCCCTCGATACCTCCCGGTGACGCTTTGGCCGGCCTCTCGTCGTCCGAGGTATGATTTTTTCGATTTTTTGAAATTGATTTTTAAAATTGATTTTTGAAATTGGGTGAGTAGGTGGCGATTCACCGCATGTTTTCATCGCGGGGTTTTCCCTTCAACACGGCAGCGTTTGACGAAGTGTACATCAACTCGACCACGAGCACGGGAGCGTGGAACACCTACGTGCTTTCGACGGAGCTGGAAATGATCCTCCAGGTTTCCAACCTTTTTTACATTCAGAGGTCGAACGTGGCTGGGCTAGGGATATGGTGGCATGTACCGCGGGTCGCAGAACGAACAAGCCAACTACAATACGTTTGTGTGGCAATTGTCGCCGAACCCGCTCGACCCGATTCACTACTTTAACTACGAAGGCGTCGGGCGCATCAAAAACTCGTGGGCGTGGGGCCAAGCCTTGGTGAGCGGTTTCCTCTCGTTTACGATCATTACAAGCACGGTACACGTCTTCAATGTTGCTGGATTATGTTTCACTGAGAATGGACATGTTGTTGTAGATCATGGCGTGCATCATTTCCAAAAATATTCATACCGCAACCGGCGTCTGGTGGATTCCCGACATTTCACCGTCCGTGGGCTCGGGCATTGGGTTTCGTGGCGTCCTCACGATCCTTGCCTGGTGGATCGATGGCTGGTGGGCGCTTCAAGAATGGTACATATCCACTTTTGGCTCGATTTATCAAGAGTACATCAATCCCATTGGATTTATATACTCTTGGATTTATGTGCCCTTGGATTTATGGACCAATCTCTTTTTCAGGTCGTACAACCAAGGCAACGCGCGCAACCATCTGCTTGCGATGTATGTCCTCACCGACTGCATCAAGTCGGACTGCTTGAGCCTCTTTCTCGCGGGCGCCGCGCTCATTGCAACCAACTTTCGGCTGCGTGTGAACCCCGCGGTGCGTGGTCTTGACAGTGTCACCAACGAATTATAACTGTGCGTTGCTAGATTCCAGTGATCGTGTACATGATTGTCTACTCGCAGCGCGAAGCTATCGTGGCCAGCCTCGGTTTTATTCTGACCCGTACTTTTTTTGTTTTTCGGAATGTTTTCATGATGCACAACGTCACTGTAGGGGCCAACGACGAGCTCGTCGCAAACCAAATGCTCAACGTCGTGCCGTCCGACTCGTCGGGTCTCGACATGTGGATGTGGCACGAAAAGCTTGACTTTAACGCGACCATTGTCTTCAACGAAATGACGTGGTTGTACATCGGTACGTGCATTGATATAGCATCAAAAAGACGACTTTACCATCATGGATGTAGCGCTCATCATATTTGCACTCTACTGCGCCATGAATCGCTTCTACACGGCGCGGTTCACAGACCACCTCGTCGAAGCCGCGCACACGCGCGGGACCATGTCGGCCGACACGGTACAATTTTCTCATGTTGTTGCGATTTCATTATCTCGAGTACCATTCGTGTAGGGAGGCACGGGTGCGACCACTGGCAAGTCGGGTAGCACAGAGAACGCGACATGCTTTGAGAGCAGCACGGTACTTGCACTTGTTGCGAAATTTGGCCATATGAAAGTGGGTTTTTAGGGCGAATACTTGCGCCATAAATATGGTCTCATGTCGTACCACGAGAATTACCTCTTCATCAAAGGTCAACAGCATCATCTCCTTTCACGTTGCGACTTGTTTGACAACATGCAAATCATTCCTAGGCATGAAGTACGCGTCGCCGTCCGGAATTTGGACGTCGGGATGGGTCGTCGTCGACAACCGGTTCCTCTTTCGAACCGACGACATCATGAAGGTACGAAGCTAGAAATGACTCTGGCATATTTTTTTGGCGAAAAGGAGAGCAAATAATGCTGTTTTTGTAGGTGTTTTTCAACATTTTACTGTGCCACGACATCTTTCGCGCCCACTGCCATGTCATTACGGAAAGTAAAGTCGACAAGACGGTGATCCGCGTGTTCCGCAAGGACATTACCATCAAGCAACTCTTCACCCTCTCGCTTCGCCCGCTCTCGTAGGCCTCTCGATCGCTCGTTCCATCATCTCTTCTACATACACTTCATCATTTTCATGACTATTTTCAAACATTTCGAAACCATAGTTTTCTAGACGATCGCGTTCAACCGCTCGGTCGCGCTATCGGTATAAATGTACTACAGTAGTTCTGCACTTTTCAGGGGCACTGTCCGCAAACGTGGCTACTTCTTTATTAAGCCGACCTGAAAATCGGGCACTTTAAGACCCCGTCTCCACGCGCGCCGATAGGTCGATGAAGCAAAGTATTAAAATACAAGACGGGTACTAGAACATTATTGTTGGCGGTGCTGGTCAATCGGTTGTCGCCATCGTCTAGAACACCTGTTGGCATAGATTGAGCGCCGTTTTGCTCGAGTCGGAACCGCCTCGATCAACTCCAGAAAGTGCTTCGTCGAGGCGTGTCTTTCGGCAATACATGGACATTCTACATCAAAAGATGCCATAATAAAAACTCTAGCACTGAAAAAACGCAGGCGTCGTGTATTATTAATGTACAATTGTGTATTCTAGGAGGACCACGCTTCGTTTTATTCCCTTGCTTGCAAGAGGTACTCTATGTAATCGCGGTGCCAACTTTTGTACGACTGACAGTGTGTGGTGAGCTTTTCACAACGTTGCTGCACGTCCGACAGCGCCAATGTGTCCATCCCGATAAACACGCGCACCACTCCTGAGGTTGCGGCGATGGCTTTAGCGAGGTCCATGTCGCGCTTCAAAGCGTCCCTGGCGCGCTCAAGTGCGTCCCTGGTCGCCACAAGGCACGCGTTGGCAGCATCGAGGCTGAGCGTGGCCGCATTGCGCTGTGCGACGAGGCGCCCAGCGTTGGGGGCAAAGCTCTTGTTGATGGCGACGCGGAATTGGATGAGCAACCCAATGGCCGCATTGACGTCCAGAATGGCAGACTCGAGGCTTTTAATTGTGGTCTTCATCGTTTTTTCCGCCACGTCGAGGAGCGGGAGGATCGCGTCCCGAAGCTTCGCGGCGTCGGCACGGTCGTCACACAGAAGAAAGCCACCAATGTAGCTTTCGACCTGGTCACACCACTGGTACATCTCGTGGGTCGCGCCTTGGTGGAGATCAAGTGCGCGGTCCATGTGGGTGTAAATCGCATTGATGCAATCAAGCGCTTCGGGGGAATACTGGTACTTTTCGTCGAGGAGCGCGAGGATCGACCCGCGGCAGTTGCCCCACCCGGCGGATTTTGCGTCGCGCCAGCGTGCAATGACCGGAGGTGGAGGCGGCGGCGGCGTCGTGAAGTAGTTTCCCATGCTCTGCGTTTTGTAAAATGAAGAAGCACGGACCGCGTTCTTGCCGCACCAGCTGGATTGTATCAAGTGCGATCAGCGAGCTTCAAGTGTCGAGTGGGCAAAATATATCAAGTCGATGCATGACACGTCAGCCATTCGCTCTTTCAGTGGTGCTAGGTGCACCCAACGATCACGCTCGGCGCTTGACGACGTGTCTTCAACGCTCGATTCACAAAACCTTGACCATCACGAGTCAACAGAAATAAGCTACAATATTGTCTTAAAACAGACTACAGGGCACGGATGCAATGCCAATGAAATCCCTACAAATGGCATCAAATATCCGGATATTCGTGCCCTTGGTGCTACTCACGAATGACGGTGTCGTTGCAAGGCCTGGAGACAGCAAGAAGCAGGAGGAAAGGATTGAAGGGTATATTGGAGCACGGGGACTTATTGCATTACGAACGAAGTATACTCGTGATGGCGAGCCTGATACGACCTGCAGAGCCCAAGAAGCATTTCGCTTTGCGCCTGGAGTTGCGGCACGTTGCGGTTGTTGAGCCGGATAAAGTTATGCACAATTCGGCTGCAGGTTTGAATGGCGTTGACTTGGTGTGAGTCGCGCTTCAGGACATTGCGAGCGCGTTCGAGTGCCTCCTTGGTCGCTTGGAAGCACGTCTCGGCAGCGTCAAGCTTGCGGATCACCTTGTTCCGCTGCGCGCGCCAGTCCTGCGAGCGGACGACAAAGTTGTTGTTGATGGCGACGCGGAACGCAGCGAGGTGCCCGATGGCGTCGTTGACGGCTAGCAGGCTGTTTTCGATGCTCTTCAGCGAGGCCGTGGTCATGGCCGGTGCCTTCTCGAGATGCACAGCAACATTGTTGCGCAGAGTCTCCGTGTCTTGCGTGTCACGCGTCGTGAGGTATACCTCGAGGTAGGATTCGGCCTCGCAGCACCAGCTGAAGGTGCCTTTCATGGACGTCAAGTGTTGGTCGAGTCCACTGTTCATGCGCTCGTAAATGAGGTCGAGGACTTCGCGTGCGGTGCCTGGGTAGTCGTTTTTCCCTTCTAGGAGTGCGAGGACAGTGGCTTGGCAGGGGCCCCAGCAGGCGGCGCTCGCATCCCGACAGCGCGCGTCGTCTATCGCCGGTTTCGGCCAAAATATTCCCATGGTCGTCAATTGAAATGTGATTGATGGCACGTAGCCATGCCGCGACTTGATAGTGGCGGAACCATCAACAGCTGTGACTGGACCGTTGATAAAATTCACTTGATACACAATATGTATCAAGTGGATCTTATCAACGGTGGTCGATGTGATGGTTTCACATCGACCTTCGGGCACTTGATACAAAGTAGCATGTTTTCAACGTTCAGGGCAAAGCCTTGTGGATACAATCGAATCAAGGGCATGCTACCCTGGTGCAACATCGACAGGATCGAGCCACAAATCATTTCCAACGCCCTCCCTCCCATGGGCAACTTTGCGACCAAGCCAACCGCATCCTCCGACAACGTGCAATGGATGGAGTGCCACAACGCCGTCACCGCCTTCGTCGCCACCACGACCTCGGCGCCGACGATGCACAAGCACTGCTTGGCGCTGGACAGCGCCCTCCGGACGAGCGCAACAGCTGCACAATGGTGCGCACGTGTCGTCACGTGCACGTGCACGTTCATTGCCAATCGAGACGACGACGACGCCCGATGGAAGCTCGTGGATTGCCTCCAGGAGGCGCCCGGCGCCTTTGAAGCCACGGACGTGGCTTTCAAATACAGCCTCGAGACGCTCCGCGGCATGCGAGAGTGCATCGTCCAGTGCCATCAAGAGCAACACGCCGACACGTCGATGCCACTGTCGTCCCATATCGAGGTCGACGCGTGCACCAACCTAGCGATCGTACGCACGCCTCTTGAGATTGAGGACTGCAGTATGGAACGTACGCCATCGACGAGGGTTGAGGACGCGGCCGATGCAACGCCCGTGCAGTCCAGCCGCTTCCAAAACACGTGTGGGCACGTGGAGGCGACGCAGATAGTGCTTGAAAAGGCCCTTGCGATGCTAGGTCTTGACTCGCGCCTCGTCGAGGGCGTGCTCAGGACTGCTCGCATTCTCTTTACGCTCCTCAAGCTTCACGCGCCAAGCAAAGACATGGAAATGACAAACGCAAACGAGCTCACTCGATTCTGCAAAGCGTACCAGAAGAAACATGCCACGCTCGTCCCACAGATATCTCTTTCGTGCAACCAAGCTCCGACGACGCTGCCTCGCCTGTGCGGTGACGATGACAACGTCAGCACCCAGCCGGCTTGCCAGCTGGAGCCGCTCTGTGGCCGCGAGCACCTGCGCAATGGGCCCGCGTCGGTCGTGGCCATTAGCCCAGCTATATTGACTCCCAACGCTATCTAGTGCTGCTTGAGCACCTGCGTTTACTGGACGCCACTTGGCAGTGGAGCGTCTTTTGAATAGTATCAACGAAGTATCAATCGAGCCGTTTCATCGGTCTTGCGTGTTGCGACCCATCGGTCGAGTCGACCACAGCATGTTCACCTGCCGCATCGATGATAAACTCGCATGAATAATGTCGACAGGGTTTACTAATAAATGCATGTATGGTTCCTTCGGAGCCGCCAGATAAGAGTCGAGCGAGTGCAAGGCTGGCAAGACCCTAATTATGCTATTTATTGGCATGTTCGCACAATCTGGACACGGGGATCGATCGGAGCACCCTATTTTTCTGCTCACATCTACGGAGACCATTTATAGCATCTTCTGCAGATTTCGGTGAAGAACAGGGTGCCGCGCTTGGTGTTGCAAGCCTTCCAATACGATGTACAAATACGTACACTCTAGGACGATGTTGTGTTGCGATCGAGGAGCTGGAAGCCGCTAGCGTTAGGCCGGCACGGTCGACGAGACGCTCACGAAGCTGCAAGTCTACCCGCATGCACCGAACCCAAACTATCAAGTGCCGCTCGATACTATTCAATTGGAGAGGATCGACGCACACTCTCAAGTGCAATATCGAATGTCACAGGACTCTTCGAAAAAGGCCATCTGGCCATGGCGGCCACGATCGAGCGACGACTCGCACCCGACGTCGTCCAAGCGATCGCGACCTTCCTCAGCGACGCCGACGACCTCTTCGCGCTCCTGACTGCGCTGCCACCGTGCCTCTTGACGGACGCGCTCACGAGTCTGCTGGCGCTATCGGCCACGACACCGCGCCGCCACCTCTGGCCGACGACGAACGGCCTCCTCGCGTCCCTGCGCGACCACATGGACCGCGTACAGAACGTTGCGCGCTGCATGGTATTGTACCCGATCGTGACGTTGCATGACCTCGACGACGCCTGGCTCGTCCCTCTCGGACCTGCTACGAGCGTTCGCATCACGATCGCACTGCCGCAGCACGTGGCCATCGCAGCGTCGCTTTCGCCGCGCATCAACTCGATCGACCTTTGCTTCGCACACGATGTGCATCTGCTCGACTGCAGCTTCTCGGCGCGCGACGTCGAGCAGCTTTGCACGTGGCTGCCAACACTGCCGCATCTGGTCCGGGTGCGCATTGGCTCAACGGCAAGCATGCATAGCGTCCTCGCCGCCGTCCTCGTCTCCCGGGCCACCGAGCTCGAGCTGGAGATGGCATTGGGCGATCCGTTTGCATCGACGATGGCGCTCACAACATGGCTGGAGCGCGGTGATGCGACGGCACTGACCATCACGGCCAGCGTTCCTTTGATGTGCACGAATGAGCTCCTACTGGCGCTCGTGTCTCTGCGACGGCTGCGCTCTCTGCGCCTCGAGGCCACGTCCTTGTCCCAGCAACTCTGCCGCCTCGATCATCCTTGGCCGACATCACTACGCTCGCTGCACCTTGCGTTTGGTAACACACACAATTTGTGCAAGCTGGCGCATCGGCTGGTGACGTGTCCGCGCCTGTCCTCGCTGACGCTCTCGGCGTCACGCTCGACGATGTTGGGTCCCATGCACCGTGTCGTCTGCGAGGCATTGCCAGCACTGAGCCGGCTGCGGTCGCTCACGTTGACGTCGTGGCATCTCACGCCGTCTTGCATGCTTAGCCTCGTTACAGAGGTCGTTCCACGACTACACCAACTGTGCCTCGACGACAACGACCTCATGGACGACGACGCGGCGGTGCTCGCAAGTATCTTATCTCGCGGCACGTCTCTTTGCTCCTTGCGGCTCGTGCGTCAAGGCGTGAGCGATACGGTGGCCCTGGCGCTTGCAGGCGCCTTGCCCATGTGCCACACGCTTCGCCAGCTATACGTGGGCGGCAATCGCATTGGCTCGATGGGAGCGATCGCGCTGGTGCAGGCGCGTCCAGCGTCGCTACGCCTCCTTGCGCTCAACAAGAACCCGCTCTCCAGTGGCGGTATCCTCGACATGGCGCAGGCCGCGGCTCGGAGACAAAACTGGCCTCTCACGATGGATCTCTCGTCGACGCTGTCCTTAGCCGCCGACCGCACCGCGTGCCGGTCGATCGTGCACTCCCTACTATTACCACCCCACATTGTCGTCCATCTCTAGTCGTGTCTTTCGTCCACCACGTTTGCTCTCGTTTTTGATTTGTGGGACATTTTGTGTCATTTTGAATCCATTTGGCTGAAAAACGATTGGAATTTGTACACGATATGCTTTAACCGCGCGGTAGTCGAGAGGTTCAAGTGTTCGACAGGAGAGGACGTAGTTGCGTATCAACGTCTCGACTGGGAACGATCATGGCATCGGTACACGCACCGCCCTACTACGACCTGAATCCAGCCTGCGGCGCAACGATCTTCACGTCCTGCAAGAAGAATGCAGTCGTTGGACCGACTAGAATGCTAGAGCCTTCGTTCGTATACAGCTATTCGACTAAACTACTAGGTCGTGTTTGTTGTTTGACACTAGGACTAGAGGTGTTTGGGCCGGTATGGCGACGAGAGGCTCACGCAGGGTGTGGGTGTCTCTGTCGGCGTCGTCTGCTTGAGTCCTTGCAGCAGCACCGAGTGTACGCTGGGCTTGACCTGCGCCGCGTCCTTGAAGAAGCCGACGCGCAACGCGTCTTCGCTCCACACAATCGATGCTGGTGTCCACCTACCCAAATTGATCACATTTCGATACATAGGACGTCGCTAGGTAGACGACAGTACGTGCGATGCAAGTCGTTTGTGAGCGCGTGCAAGTCAGCGCGCCACTCGGTGCGGTCCGACTGGTCGGACGCGAGCGAGATACCTACTTCACTTTCTAATCGTTTGCTAAAACAACGAGATGATTACCCGTGTGGGCGAGGCTCGGCATGACGATCACGTTGCGCTTGGGCTTGAGGACGTTGTGTTTTGGGCACAAGTGAGCCTGGTCGGCATAGTGCTTCTATTCAAACCATATCGACGCAATCCATTTGGTGGCTTTCAGAGTCCACCTCGGGGTCCTACATCCAGGAACCATTCAACAACGGAACGATTTTATAAGGTAGCACCTCGCTCGGACTGGCGTCGTGCGCAGTCAAGTAGTAGACATCGGGGTTGCTTGTCGACGAGCGAAGGCCGTTGAGGTACGGCAGCGCATGGCTCGAAGGGCGCAGCGCCGGCGAGGCAAAACAATGGACGCACGTTGCAGTCTACTCGTGCAAAGACAATATGTCCACACTTGAGTACGACAGGATGGCGTACGGCGTGGGATGGACGCGGGTGGTGTCGACGCACAGGACTCGACATCCGACCTTATGAACGAACGAGCAAAATTGCACTTGTCGAGCGGCTATTGCTATTTTTGTCGATTGCTAGTCGACGAGCTAAAACGCTGCCCTATTCGTACGGTTGTCGTGGCAAAATGTGTTTCGATTACAGTGATTCGAGAAGACAAAATGTTCAGTGTCCAACTACACGATGGTGCCGTAGCGGCAGAACTCGACTTTTATTCTGCGTTGGCTAGATTGCAGCCACTTTTCACTACCGACATACACCCATGTGCGAGCGTAGCAACCAGTTTCTTTAGATCACCTTCTAAACTTTCATGTAAAGCGGTGTGCTCTTCGTCAATGCGTCCAACAGTGCCATCGCTGCTTGTGGTCGTGTAGGCGGCAAGGGCACTGCGTGTCGTCGTCGTCGACGGCAATGCAACAGGTCACAGCAATTTCTAGGCAGCAAAAGACTCGTGCATGGCTGTACGCGTCTGTACGACATCTGTGTGGTACCCAGCACAAGCACTGTGACACATGTTGTCGTGCAGTCAAAGGACGGTCGCTTCACCATCGCACCTCCCGCCGTGCGCCCGCGTCCTTACCCCGTCTGTACTGTACGCTTGTGGAGGCCCTCGTGCTTCGTACGACGAATAGACAATGTGCTCTTCCTCGACATGCTCGTACCCGTCGTTGTTGCGACGCGTTCACCAACACCAAGGTCATCGCCCTTACGTCAGCGGACGGGTTACCGTGCCCCGCCTTGTCTCGTATTTGGCCCACCGCCTCGCATCTGCCAGCCAAGCAACGCACGGTCAAGTCGCACCAAAGCCACGGTATGAATTACGGTCTCGCATTAACTTCTCTGAAGTTGATTGACCGCGTCGACGCGAGCGATGCGCTGGTGTCGGCAGACGTACCGTCTTTTCCTCGAAACGACCGAACGAATCCGTTTTTTCACAAATATACCGTATTTTCATCAATGCCGGCTTTTTAAATCGACCGTATTTTCGTATTTTACAGAAACTTCGCCGTCTTTTCACGCACTTTTGCGATTGCTGCGACACCAGCTGGCGCCTCATCGTGGCACGGGCCATCATTGGCACATCGCGACAATGGTGCTGAACATGGCCGACGACGGCGTCGCAGCCGCGTACGCGTCGGCGCTGCACAGCCTCGCGGGCACGACCGGTGCCCACTGCGTGTACGAGACGCTGCATCCGCGAGACGAGGTCCCAAGCCTCGACGTCGATGGCCTCGAGAGCCCGATCGCGTGGCCGCTCTACACGGACGAGCGCGACGAGCTCATGGAGCTCTTCCACGGCGACGACCGCGCCTGCGTCGTCGTACCATCGGCGCAAGCCACGTTCAGTGACGACGTGGACGAGCCGCTGCTCGGCGCGATCACGGACGCCGTCATGAAGCGCCTCGGCATTCGATCGGCGTTCAGCGCCGAGCTGTCGCACCTCGTGCTCGAGAGCAGTGGCGTCGCGTCGACGAGCCATCTGCTCGCGCGCAACCCGAGCGAGTCGTCGTTCGGCACGCTGCTCCTGCTCGCGCCGTCCATCGACAAACACGCGGGCGGCGACGTCACGGTCCGAGGCGCGCGCGATGCCATCACGTGGTC